AGGCAAAAGTAGTTTTTTATCACAGTGGCTACGTTTGTCACATTGAAAGCAACCTTGATTTGGTGGTTCATTGATGCCCATCAGCTTCTCTGTAGTATAATGGTACCTGCATGAGCAGGCATATCTCACTGTCCTGAAAAGCCTTATTTTATTAAAATATCTTAAATGTCATATTCTGTAGATCTCTCATGTGTTTGTAGATGAAATATCTATGCAAAATACATCTCTGTTTAAGTTTGAAAACATACCTAACATGAATACAAGTTTGATTGTTAGAGCTGACTAACTAGTGACCACATTTTAATTTTTCTGAGCAGTTCTTAATAGTATCCTTCAAGGTCTAGAACTTATGTTACATTCCTAATTGTGCTGCCTAATTTCAATATTTTAAACAAGGGCAGAAACATATATATTATGTTGTAGGAAAAATAACCTTAAATTTTTATTATGAAACAAAAATCCATACCAATATAAAATATTTGAGACAAGTACATCCTTTTTAGTTTAATAGTAGACTTAATAATCTAACTTTTTATCCTATCATTCATAGGTTCTCCCCCTACTATCTTCAGAAAGAGATTCCTAAATCTATCTTCCTTTCCTTAGTTGCTCCCTGACCATGAACAAAAAACACTTGCAACCAACACCAAACCAACCAAAAATATCCATAATGCACATAGCAACCAAAAACTTCCCATTCTACCTGTCAGGTATGTGGGCATCATGTTTTTAAAATTAGATTCTGCCTTGTATGAACTGCATGTTTAGGGGACCCTTATCAAACTGGGATAATGATCAGGTCTCGGGAGAGCTACTACATACTTTGTTGTCCAGTCTATGTGTGAGAAGAATGTGCAGGACTTAACTGAAGTCTGGCACATTAAGACTTAAGAGCAGTCTGAGTGGCTGGGACATCTCAGCAAGCAGCTTTGAAGTTATCTTGACTGCAGATTTTTGGGGGGAAAATGAAACAGGCATTCTGTGAAGCTGGATCCTCTGGGCTCCTTGCCTTGCCTGAATTTGTATCTTGCTTTCTTTTATTTTTCTGAAAACAAAGTTCCCATTTAGTAGGTGTTTAGTCAGATCAAACTATTTGGGTTCATGCTTATTTCTGTGAACATACATAATTGGTTAAGGAGTATCATATGTTATTTTATTTTCACGATGAACATATTAGCCCCTTCATTCATTCAACATTTAGTTTATATCACTCACCATGTCATATTGTTTTCTAAAGTCAGAGTGTCCTACAACTTGCTATCATTTAGTCTTCATCTTCTAGGCCCACATTCTCTATTACTGTACAATGATATATATCCTTTATAGTCTATCTGCCACATATATGTATCCTGTCTCAGGGTGTTTACAATTGTATACACTAATAACGAAAATGTTAAAATGTTTTTGTTTGATGTAGCGTGAGATATCTCATTTGGAGGTGCATCTATTTTTGGAATTTTCTTGAATATTTTAGATAATTCTCTACTAATTTTACAGTGATATTTTTTCATATTCTGTAAAATGATGCTATACATTTAAGTAATGTAAAACTACATTGTTTTGTTGATTTTTTGGCTCTTTTAGAGAGCTTAACACCCTTCTTCAAAATAAATCCCACAGGAACCTTTTTTCTAAATTAAAAATACCTGGCCTTAGCTCCAGCTTTCCTTAACTTATCCTGTGTACGTTTTGCCTCTAGGTATTTCCCTTTCTCTTAATTCTATAAATCATACTCTTACTCTGTCACTTGCTGTGTAGCTGGGTGTCTAGCCCATGATGTCTTACTCCTTCTCTGGCTTCTAGATCTTATATCCCCTCTCTCTAGAATTTTTCCTTCTATATATATTCTGCCTGCCAGCCCAGGCTATCCTTTTTCCTGCCTTGCTATTGGCCAGTTCTTTATTTGACCATCAGGTATTTTACACAGGCACAGTAACACAGCTTCTTAGAGATAAACAAATGTAACATAAATAAAAGTAACAAACATTAAGACAATATTCCACAACACTATGTTGTTCCATTGGTTGTGCTGTCATTTTACATGTTATGGCTTTTTGTTTGTTTGTTTTTTGCTTCTTGTTGTTGATGATGTTCTACATACACCCCCAACACAGAGTCTTCTAACAGTGTAAGTCATCTACATCTCACTGATGAGTTCCTAACAGAACCCTTTGGTGTGAGGTATTGGATTCCTTGACACCATCCTGGAGATGAGAAATAAACACATTCACTAAGGACTTCACTTCTCTCCTCCTTTATTTTAAATTTACTTCTTGTAGTTTATTTTTGATATGAGAATCACTATGTTACCATATGTCTATAATTGTGTACACCGTGGAGATTTTTTGCACATGTGTGAAGATGGGTCTGGAGGATACAAGTCCATGTCGTCTGATCCCATATTGGCCTCCATAATAATTTTTTGAGATCAAATTATTGTTTGAAATTTAAGTATTTAATTTAATCTAATGTTGAAACTCAGTGAGTACAAGCACCTATTACAGATAAGGAAACATGCTGAGTAGGTGCTTACATTAGGGAACAACTGTGTGCTCTCTGACAAATATCCCTTATGTTGTATTTAGCTTAATTGCTTCTAATAAGCAAAGCTCAATAGAAGCCTCCATCAGCAAACTGGCTGCTTGGAAATATGATTACCTGGGTTCTAATTCCAGAAAACATATATGAAGAATCAAGCATACAGGCATCACCATCCAACCATAGGACATGAGGGATATGTTGTGTAAATAATATCATGGGGTGTTCCTAGCCAGCTTGTTTAAAATGTTTGGCAAATTCTCTCCTTGTGTGAAACACTATGTCAATCTGACATTGCTGATACAATTGTGTATGCAACTAATATTTGATAGATCTTTTAGCAGCTTTGCATCAGCTGAGTGTGCATACATAATTGTTCGTTATGAAGCAAACCAATGTTCTACTACGTGCTAAAGCAGGATCATTAAACAAATATTGTCAGAGTGTCCTATAATACTTAATGTACTGTTGAAGAGAGAAAGGTAGAATTTCCCATGTATGCTATCCCTGAGAGTCTGTCCATGTTTTAATCAATGGCCCCACAATAAAATCAACACAGGGGCTTTCCCTGAACTCAGATGTCATGCTAAAGAGCATAACTGTATGAATTAAAGACAGAGTATTGATAATGATTATTCAAGCAGAATTCTACTACGGGAAATGCAAAGAATTTTAGAATATTCTCCAAGTATTTATATTTGTATATGAATAATGAACAAAGAATTTTCTGAGTATTTATGGAACTTTGAATCCAAAACGAATGCCACATGCATGCAGACATATGTAAAACCACACATAAATGCATAAATACAAGGGATAAATTATAAAAAGTATACAAGGATTATGAATATTAAATTATAATACAAACACCTCAAAATATAACATAATCATTAGGCCAAGTAAGATACTGTATCCAAACTGTCTATGTTCAGAATAAGGCTAAATATACCATTACTATTTACAAAATAGCATCTTATTTTGGTCATTCTTGTATATATATATATCAGAAATATATTTATTGGAGTGGTATAATTCATGAATCAATCTTTGCAGTGGAGAAAATAACATGACATATCAGAAACTGTTACCAGGAAGCTGGAATTGGCAGCACAGAATCACAATCAGCCAGCAGCAAAAACAAAGGGAGGGTTTCCTGTATGTACACAGGAATTTGGCCCAAGCAATGGATACATGATGATCTCTGAGTTGTCATGGGCTGTTTGTTTTGTTTTGTTTTTGATAATTGGAGTCTTAGCCCAGAAAAAATTGCCTTTTTTTTTCTCTTGCTCACTTTCAATTTTGCTGCTACAGTTGGCCGCACATGGACATTTATTTAGGTGGGAAGGAGGAAGGAAACAGCATCTCTGATGGAGATCTCCAAGATTACTATAGGTTTTGCCTCCTTTGCTGGAACTGAGAACATTGTTCTCATTCATTCTTATTCTGGGCTCAATGTGAATGCACACTTTCTTCCTTTAATCACAGGAAAGTAGGGCTAATAAAAGTGTCACAGGTACAGATTCTTACCAGTAAGGCTCTGGCTATACTCAGAAACACAGTTGGACCTGGGTATAACCAAACCTGACTCTATATTGGCCCAGAAATGACAGACTGCTCTTGACATCTACAGGAGACAGAGCCCATTCAGTTTAGCAAAGTCAGGATTGTTTGATTCACAGGAGCACAGCTCTGAGTCCTTTGCTCCTGTCACCTATGCAGCAAGTGGGACCCTGCTTCTGAAGCTATAGCTCCTCTTTAAAGATGTGACATCCCAGTCTCAGTCTAAAAGTGCTGCATTATAAGCAAAGAAGATAATCCAATTCAGGATTTTATACCCGGCACAGAAAAAGACAGTCCTGGTCTTTGCTATCCCAGGGAGATCCACTGTGGGAATAGCTATGGTATTGTCACTTTTATCCAGTTACCTAGAGTCACTGAAAGTATCAAGAAATAACTGTTCCAGACACAAGCATTTCTGTCATTAGAGTATCTGGGTGGACAATAAGTATTAGCATATGAAATTTATTTCCTTTAATTCTTTTGCCATTTAGGGACTCAGAGGTAAACTTTCTATGTTGGTGGAAATTGTCAATTCCTTTTGACACATAGAAAATATTTAGTGCCTGTGAACGCTTTATCTTGTGTCTGAAAACTCACATTCTGAATTTCTCTGACAGAGAGGAAAGTTGAGATTGTAAAACATGTTCTTTAAGGAATGGTATCTCACCACTGAATCTGTTAGAATATTTCTGGTACTTTTTCAACACAAATATATGACGCGTTAGTTCTGCTATATGAAAAAGGCATTAAACATCATAATATAGTGAAGCAAAGCCTATACTGATTCATGGAAAGAGTCCTCTGCATATTATTGTGTTAATTTCCAATTAATATGAGATAATTTTCTCTGATGAGGGTCAAGTGATAACCAGATCTGTCAGTTTACCACTAGAACTTCTGGACTCATTTTATTTCAATTTTATTCCAGTGGAAGGAGAGAAATAATTTTTATGGATCTCTGACAAATCTAGTCTCAGCTTCCTAGTCATTTTAGGCATATAGGGCATTTATTTACTTCATGGAATTAATCATAATCCTTACAAGTAATTGATTACTCCTATTAATAAGTAGGCACAATGACAAAAGTAGGAAAAGAGCAGACTTCTCTACCTGTGCTGTTTTTTGGCATGTAGCTAATGAGAATGAGGCATTTTGTTCTTGCTGGAGTTATATGCTGATTTCATTCCTATGACATGTAGTCATTTCCACTGAAGCTTCTAATTAGGTGCAATGTGAATATCTGCTCTGTGATGAATAAAGTATGTAGGAAATTCAATAATAGCTTATCACCATCATATTAGGAAATGTAACCCTGATTTGGAAATGGTTGTGAATCAGCGGTGGGGGACTATGGGAGGTTAATCAAAAATTTTGTGGGTCAAGTGGATTTAAAATGCTTAGACTTGTGTGTATTGGTGAAAATCATTTGGCAAAGAAGTTAACAAAATAACGCTTTACTGACACCTGAGAGAAAACTCTGATTCCCTTTCTTGGTCTAAGACATGCAGTTTTCACAATATCTCCATTATATGTGTTGAACCATATCAATTACTTTCATATATATATAAATGGTTTTGTATGTATATGTATATATGCCTACTTCTGACACACATTTCAAGGTGGAAATTTATATGTATGTATCAAAATACATATGTATACATGTGTATGCATCTTGATGTAGATGAGCATTTCTCACGTGTGTACTGTATTTATATAATTTCACTCTTCTTTATTTTTCTTCCTGAAGCACCATGTCCGCTCCAGGATATTCCAAAAGAAATACTACTTCTTAGTGAATTTATATTTTTTCATACATACACAAATATAGTCAGAACTAAATGATGCATTGTAGAGAATGTGGTGATAATTAATGCTCATTTTTATTTTTGACCTTTGGAATTGAAAGGCCTCACAATGTCATTTTAAAATACCCTGTGTCTATCTATCTTAGCATCCATCTTTTCTTCTCAGCTTTTCTGCTTAGTGTGTCAAGCCTAGCGAATTTCCACTACACACTGGCCTGCAGATATGTGTTGTCATGCTGCTACCTTGTTTGGTTGCTTCTTTACTTTGGAATATATTTTTGGTTGGTACTCATATTTTCTAAACATTGGGGTTTGAAATTCGGTATCCTTCTTAGAAGACAATTTTTCTGCAGGAGGAATCCTGTTCCTTAGGATCATGAATTGTATCTTAGCATTGAGTACCACACTTTCTTTGCCCAGAAAATATGTTGAGTTGTGTGGATTTATCAGGTGGCTGTAGACATGACTTTGTAAGTACATAGCAATATGTCCAGGTATGGAATTTAGTACTAATGCTGTAAAATGATGTCTTTTTGAAGAGTTAAAACTGAAGTTGCCTGTGGGTATAAGGATATATAGAAAGCTGTTCAAATGACATGCCTTCAGAGATGTTGCCAAAGAAGGAGTGCCTCTGGGTTCACTAATTCTTAGCCTTTATGTATCAGACCAGGTTAATACATTGGGAATTATTTTTCCTCATTTAAATGATATATGATTCTTTTGATAAAAAAAAAAAGAAATATTCAGTCATGTCTGAGGGAAACAAGGATTTAATGCCCTAGGATATTCTAAGTCCTGGTAAGTTTTATATTTGAATGCAGTGGTATAATCAAGTCTGAATTGATGTTTTCAGTTGTGTTAGCTATGATTTTATATGAACAGCCCATCATGATGATGATGATGAGTAAAATAATAACTATAATAATGGTCCAGGGAACTTTTTCTAAGCACATACGATGTAAAAATTAGTTTTTAAAAAAACCCAGATATTCATCTGTTTAAGAGGCAAGATGGCGACAGGTGGCAGAGCAGAGGAAGATCTGCAGCAGGGCCGCCTGCAGATGCTGCTCCCCGCGCAGCCTATGGCCCAGGCTGAGGAAGCCCAGGGCACAGGAGAGAAGATGGGCTGGGCGCAGGTAGTAAAGAACCTGGCGGAGAAGAAGCACGACTTTCGTGAGCCTTGGCGGGGAGTAGGAAGGGGCAGAGGTGCGGGTGTCAGGCTGGGCAGCCCCGCGGGCCTGGCCGCTCCGAACCCCGGCAACTTCCCACCTGCGGGCCGCGGGGACCCCAGGGGCTGCACTAGAGACCCTGCGGGCTACGCGGCAGAAGCTTGCAGGATGCAGGGAGCCGGAGACGCGAATCAGAGGAGGATGGCCGAGGTGGCGGCGGCAGCGGCAGCAGCGGCAGCGGCGGCCATGGCGTCCCCCGCCAGGCCCATTGCGACCAAAGACGCAATTGCAGGGCGACCACTGCAGGATGAGCCTCCAGCCGCCAGGCCGGGTAAGGGCCGCTTCCTTGTGCGCATCTGTTTCCAGGGAGAAGAGAGTGCCTGTCCGACCCGGGATTTCGTGGTGGGCGCGCTCATCCTGCGCTCCATTGGCATGGATCCTGGGGACATCTATGCTGTCATCCAGATCCCTGGCAGCCGCGAGTTCGATGTGAGCTTCAGATCTGCAGACAAGCTTGCCCTGTTTCTCCGCATCTATGAGGAAAAGCGGGAGCTGGACGACTGCTGGGAGAACTTTGTCCTGTTGGGGCGGAGCAAGCCCAGCTTGAAGACCCTCTTCATCCTCTTCCAGAATGAGACCGTGGATGTGGAGGATATCGTGACCTGGCTCAAGCGCCACTGCGAAGTGCTGGCCTTGCCAATGAAAGTGACTGACAGGTTTGGGATCTGGACTGGGGAGTACAAGTGCCAGATTGAGCTGCACCAGGGGGAGGGCGGGCTGAAGCACCTGCCTGGGGCCTTCTTCTTGGGAACGGAGAGGGGCTACAGTTGGTACAAGGGGCAGCCCAAGACGTGCTTCAAATGTGGTTCTCCGAACCACATGACCGGCACCTGCACGCAGGAGAGGTGTTACAGGTGTGGAGAAGAGGGCCACAAGAGCCCTTACTGCCGGAAGATCATCATGTGCAACCTCTGTGGCAAGAGAGGACACGTGTTTGCCCAGTGTCCCAAAGCAGCTCAAAATTCCGTGGCAGATCACCTCACAGGCATGGCGGGGCACTGAATGTGTGTCTGCCTGCCGGGGTGAACACACAGCCATCTTACCCTTCTCAAGTGCCAAAACCTTTTTTTTTTTTTTTTTTTTTTTTTTTTTTTTTTTTTTAAAGATCATTTTTCTCTTTTTCGACGGAGATTATTTCTAAAACTCAACAGAGACATTCTCTCTATGCCTTTTAAAACCACGTGTGCTCCTTTTCAGGCTGTTTAAAAAGAACTATTCAGAACTGTAGTGTGCAGACTATTCAGAACTGTCCTCCCCCACCACCACCTTTTTTCTTCCGTTTTACATTAGTTTTGGTACTTTCTTCAACACCCTGTCTGCCTCTGTACTATTTGCTAACTCCCTCTTCATCCATGTCTCATCAGAAGATGTTTGCTCTTTGGGCTGCCTTGCTCATTTTATGCCTCATCCCTGGGTACAGGGCCCAATGCGGGATAGGCATTCACCTAAGTGTTTATTGAATTGAAAATGTTGTCGATTAGCTGTCTAGAGTGCCTACCTTGTGCAGCTCTCCGCTGGGCTCTTTCCATTTGTGGCTTCTATGTGATATGAAAATTTGTGAAAACAGTGTTGCTGGAAGTGTGTAATCCAAATAAGCTCTGAAAAGTGGCCAAGGGCCTCTCGAAGCATTTAAACCTATCTCCCTTGTGACAGCTCATTCTGGCTCAGAAGCCTTATTTCTATAGAAGCTTGGAACCTAGGCAGTTCTTCTAGGAAAGAACCAAGAGGTGTTTTTTGTTGGATTTTCTTTGGGGGAGCTTGCTTTTGTTTTGTGTATTGATTTGAGACAGGGTCTTACTGTGTAGCCCTGACTAGCTTGCATTCCTGAACCAGGCTGCCTTCAAACTGACTGTGATCCTCTCAACTCTGCCTCCCTAAGGATGTTTTAAATTAACCCCTTGGTTTTTCAGCAGATGAAATAATCCGAAGTGAAATGACTGGGTTAAAGTAAGCAGCGGTGTGGTGCTTCAGACTGTCCACAGTAGAGTCCACTGCCCCCTTGCCTGGTGCTCATCCCACTACCTCTCACACTTCACAACAGTCTCCTTGACAATGGAGGGCCATGAATGTCTCTCTCCAGGCTGATGGTCCCAGCATGAAGCTGAGACACCAGCCCCTGAAAGAGCAGAAAGAGAAGCTTGTCTTGCCACTTCATAGTAAGGGACCTAGGGGAAGGACCAGTGAACACACTGCAGGTTGCATGCATGCATCAGTCCTTGGAGTGAATGCCACATCTTCAATGTTCCACTGTCACTGTCAGCATTGAGAAATGGTTCCCCTCAGGAAAGAAACTTGCCAGACTTTTACATTTACACCTCTGCCTCATCTACTAGGAACCCCTGAGAAGCTAGAGAGAGTGCTCATCTAAAACCTTGGAACTCTGATGCTCAGAAGGAAGGTGGTTTTAACCCAGAAGCATGAGTGATCTATAAACTGGAAAATATTCTTGGGGAAACAGGCCAAGAGAGAGGGCCTGGGTCAACTAAGTGTTCTCAAGTTAAAGTGAAAGACAGTAAGCTGCTATTTTCAGTTTTTGTCTTCTCTTTGCAGTTTTGCTATTTTCTTGTGGCTTAGAATGTAAAAACAGTTGTTCAGAATTGTTCTAAATAAATATTTATCTTTTTTGCCCATGAAAAATGTTGAGTTGTGTGAATTTATCAACCTGCCCTAGACATGACATTCTAAATTCACAGGATTTTCTGCAGGTGTGGAATTTTGTAATAGTGCTATAAAGTAATGGTTTTTTTTGAGACTTAAAACTCAAGTTTTCTGTGAGTATAAGGATAGATTCAGAGAAAACTCTTTGAAATGACATGCCTTCAGAGATTTTGCCAAAGAAGGAGTGCATCTGGGTTCAATATGTCTTAGCCTTATATATCTGGCTAGGTTAATACACTGGGAATTATTTTTCCTCATTTCAATGATATATGTTTCTTTTAATCTAAAAAAAAACTGAAATATTCAGTCATGTCTGAGGGAAACAAGGTTATAATAACCAAGGTTAGGCTATGTCCTGACAAGCTTTTACATTTGAAGGCAGTGGTGCAATCAACTTGTCCATTAGGATGTTTTTCATTGTCTTAGCTGTGATTTCTTTATGAACAGCACATGATGATGATGAGTAAAATAATAGCTCTATTAATAGTTCAGGGGACTGTTTCTAACTGCAAAACAATATAAAAATTAGTTTAGAAAAATAGATTTTCAAGAAGAATGATTATAGACTGTTATTTAGTGGAATTTTGAAATTTTATTTATAATAGTCTCCTCAGAATTGATCACTTTTAGTATATATTGTGATTAAAAAAAGACACTTGATTTTTGCTTATGTTTTATTTAAGCATTTTGAAATTTAGTGTTGAAACTGAGCTGGTGCAAGCACCGATTCATAGGTATGGAAAGATATGGAATTGGTGCCTGTATTAGGGAACATGTGGGTATTCTTTCACAAATATCTCTTACATTGTTTTCGCTTATTTGTTTCTAATAAAAAAGCCCGGTAGAAAAGTCCATCAGTAATCTTGCACCTTGTATCTAATTCCAGATTTTATGTATATACTTATATATATAAATAAATATTTATATTTATATTATATATATGAATATATATATTTATATTATATACATGAAAAGTCAAGCATCCAGGCATCACCATCTCAACGACATAGAGCATATGTCATGTGAGTAATATGATGAATTTTTCCTGGCCAGTTTGTTTAACATGTTTGGCAAATTCTCCTCGTGTGAAACACCATGTCATTTTAACATTGTTAGTTCTCCTGTGCATACAACTGATATTTGATGGAATTCTTAGCACCATTGTATCAGCTGAGTATGCATGCAAAATTGTTTCTTTATGAAGCAAACCAATGTTCTACTACATGCTGAAGAAAGATCATTAAACAAATATTGTCAGAGTAGCCTATACTATTTAATGTGGTGATGAAGAGGGAAAGGCAGAATTTCGCATGTATGAGAGCTTTGAGAGTCTGTTCATGTTCTAATTGATGGCCCCACAGAAAAGAAAACACAGGGGCTTTCCCGGATGTCAGATATCATTCAAAAGAGAGTAACTATATGATCTACGGACAGAATACTGATAATAATGTTTACAGCAGAATTCTACTGGGGGAAATGCAAAGAATTTTTGAATATTTTCAAAATATCTATATTTGTATAGGAATAATGAGCAAAGTATTTTGTGAGTATTCACAGAACTTTGAATCCAAATGAATGCTACATTCATGCAGACATATGTAGAAACACACATAAATGCACACATAGAAAGGAGAAATTATAAAAAGTATAATTATTATGAACATTACACTATAATATAAAATCTCAAAATATTACATAATCATGAGGACAGAGTAAGATAGCATATCTAAACTGCCTATGTTCATTAAATGGCTAAATGTACCATTACTATTTACAAAATTAGCACCTTATTTTTGTCATTCTTGTATGTATATATACATATATACATATACATATATATAATGTATATCAGAAATGTATTTATTAGAGTGGCAAAATTCAAGAATCTATAATTGCAGTAGAGGAAATGACATGACATATCAGAAACTGTCTGCAGCAAGCTGAAATACTCAGCACAGAATCACAATCAGCAGCTGGCAGAAAGGCAGGGTTGCATGTATGTAGCCAAGAATTTGGCTCAAACAAAGAATACATGATTACCTCCTAGTTGTCACAGGCTTTTTTTTTAATAATTGGAGTCAGAGCCCAGAGCAAATTGCATGTTTTTTTTTTCTCTTGCGCACTTTCAATTTCGCTGCTTCAGTGGCAGCACACGGACATTTAGGTGGGAGGGAGAAATGAAACAGCTTCTCTGATGGAGTCTCCAAGGTAACCACAGAATTTGCCTCCTTTGCTGGAGCTGTGATTATTGTCCTTAAGGATTATTATTCCTGGCTCAATTTGATGCACACAGTTTTTCAATCACAGGCAGGGAGTGCTCACAAAAGTGTCAGAGTTTTGGCTTCTTACCAGTCAGGCTGTGGCTATACTCCAGGACACAGTTGGTCCTGGGTATAACCAAAGCTCAACTCTATATTGGCCCAGAAAGGACAGACTGCTCCTGACATCTACAGGAGACAGAGCCCATGGAGTTTAGCAAAGTCAGAATTGTATGTTTTCTAGGAGCACAGCTCTGACTCCCCTGCTCCTGTCACCTGTGGAGCAAGTAGGATCCTGCTTCTGAAGCTATAGCTTCTCTTTAAAGATCCCATTCTCAGTCTAAAAGTATTGCATTATAAGCAAGGAAAATAATCCATTTCAGGCTTTACTACCTGGCACAGAAAAAGAGTCCTGCTCTTTCCTATCCTAGGGAGATGCACTATGAGAATAGCTATGCTATTGTCACTTTTATCCAGTTACATAGATTCGCTGAACGTATCCAGCAGTGACTGTCCCAGACACTAGCCCTTATGTCACTAGAGTCTCTGGGTGGACAATAAAGAATTTTACTTGGAATGAAATTTACATGTTATAATCCTTTTGCCATTTAGGGGTTCAAAGGTACAACTTTCTAATGTTGGTGGGCATTGTCAATTACTTTTGACACATAGAAAACCTTTGACCTAATTTTTTTCCTGGTCACCCCATTTTTGTCTATGATGTCAAGCAAGGCATGAACTTTGCTGGAAATAAGGCATTTATTTCTTGAGACAGTGAGGTATTTCATGCTCTCTTGAGTGTAATTAAGAGCCCAGATTTCTTTCTACTTGTTTCTGGTATTCTATATGTTAAGAACACTTGAAGGCCTTATCACATTCTGAACTTCAATGAGGGATAGGAGAGTTGAGACAGGAAAACATAGTCATTAAGGAACAGCCCCAGCTCTGAATCTATTAGAATCTTTCGGGTGTCTTCTCAACACAGATGTGTGACTTTAGTTCAGCTATATGAAAAAAGCGTTAAACATCAGAACATAGTTACCCAAAGCCTCTAATGGTCTATAGAAAGAGTCCCCTGCATGTCATTGTGTTAATTCCCTATTAATATGAAAATAAATATCTAAGAGGTGGGTCAAGTGATATCCAGATCTATTAGCTTATCACTATGTCTTCAGGTTTGTTTTATTTCAACTTGACTCCAGTTGAATGAGGCAAATAATGGTTATTGTTTTCTGACAATTCTAGTCTCAGTTTCTTGGTTCTTTTAGTAGTGTAGGACATTTTTTCACCTTGTGAAATTAATCACAATCCTTGCAAGTAATTGATTACTTCTATTAAGTATAGGCCACGATGGTAAATTAGAAAAAAAAAATTAGAGAACTACTCAACATATGCTGTTTTATGGCATGTAGCTCATGAGCATGTGACATTTTGTTCTTGGTGGAGTTATATCAGAGTAGTTTTATTCATTCCTATTCCATGCAGTCATATCCATTGAAGTTTCTTATGAGGATATCTGTTCTATGATGAATTAAGTATGTAGGATCTTCAGTAATAGCTTATCACCATCATATTAGAAGGACTAACCCTGGTTTGGAAATGGTTTGTGAATCACCAATGGGAACTATGGGAGATCTCTTGGTCATGATGTTAACCAAATAACTCCTTATTGACATCTGAGAGAAACTCAGAAACCCCTTCATAGTATAAAGTGTGCAATTTTCACAATATCTCCCCAATATGTGTTGAACCATGTCAATTACTTTCATGTAAGTATAAATTTATTTGTATATGTATGTAAATATGCCTACTTCTGATACACATTTAGAGGTATAAATATAGATATATATCTAAATATTTATGCATACATGTGTATGCATCTTTGATGTAGTTGCGTATTTTTCACATGTGTACTTTATATAATTCTACTCTTCTTTCTTTTATTTACTGCATTACCATGTCAGCTAACTCATATTCCAAAAGAAATACTACTTCTTAGAGAATTTATTTTTTCACACATACACAAATATTGTCAGAAATAAATTATGCTTTGTTGAGATTTTGGTGATGATAAATGAACATTTTTATTTTTAACCTTCTGGAATTGAAAGGCCTCACAATGTCATTGTTAAAAAACCTGCTTCTATCTGACTTAGCATTCATCCTTTCTCCTTAGCTTTTCTGCTTAGTGTGTAGAGTCCAGAGAATTTCCAATATGTGCTGGCATGATGACATGTGTTGTCATGCTGCTACTCTTGTTTGGTTGTTTCTCTATTTTGGTTATATTTTCGGTTGGTGTTCATATTTTCTAAATATAAGGGTTTTTAAAATTCAACATCCTTCTTAGAAGACACTTTTCCTACAAGAGGAATCCTGTTCCTTAGGATTATGACTTTTTTTTAACATTGAGTTCCATATTTTCTGAGTTCAGGAAAAATGTTGAGTTGTATGGATTCATCATGTGGCCATAGAAATGACATTGTAAGTACATAGTAGTTTGTTGCAGGTGTGGAATTTTGCAATAGTGCTGTAAAATTATGTCAAAAAATAATTCTGGAGAGTTACAACTAAAGTTGCTTATGTCTGTAAGGATAGATATATAGAAAACAGTTAGAAAAGAAATGACTTCAGAGATGTTGCCAAAGAAGTACTTCATCTGAGTCAATTATTTCTTAGCCTTATGTATCAGGCTAGATTAATATATTGGAAATTATTTTTTCTCATTTAAATGATATATGTTTCTTTTAATCAAAAAAGATTGAAATATTCAGTCATGTCTCTGAGAAACAAGGATATAATTCAATAGGCTATGCTAAGTCCTGGTAAGTTTTTTCATTTGACGGAGGTGGTACAATCATCAAGTCAGCCTTCATATTTTCAGTAGTGTTATCTGTGATTTTGTTTACAAACAGCACATGATGAAGATGACTAAAATAATAGCTATATTGATGGTTAAGTATATAACAATGTAATAACTCATTATAACTACCTTATTTTGAAGAAGAATGGTGAAAAAATGTATTTTAATAGAATTCTGAGGTTTTACTTACAAGAGACTCCTCAGCATTGTTCACATTCAGTATGTGTTGTGATTTTAAAAAAAGAAAACAAAAAAGCATATAAACTTGATATATGCTTAGGTTTTATTTAAGCATTCTGAAATCAAGAGTTGAAAGTGAGTGAGTGCAAGCACAAATTCATAGATATGGAAACATGTCAAGTAGTTGTTTACATTAGGAAACATCTGTGTGTTCTCTGACAAATATCCCTTATGTTATATTTTGTTTACTTGTTTCTAATAAACAAAGCCCAGGAGCAGGCTCCATCAACAAACTGGCTCCTAGCAAATATAATTACTTGGGTTCTAATTCCAGAATACATATATGAAAAATCAGGCATACAGGCATCACCATCCAATCACAGGACATGAGCACATGCAGTATGAGTAATCTCATGGAGTTTTCCTGGCCAGCTTGGGTAACATGTTTGGCAAATTCTCTACTTGTGTGAAAAATTTTGTCAATCCAACAATGCTAATACACCTGTGCATGGAACTAATATTTGATGGTCCTTTTAGCACCCTTGTATTAGCTGACTGTGCATGCATAATTATTTCATTATGAATCAAATCAATTTTCTACTACAAGCTGAAGAAGTATCATTAAACAAATATTGTCAGAGTGGCCTATAATATTTAATGAGCTGATGAAGAGGAAAAGGTAGAATTTCGCAAGTGTGCTAGTTTTGAGAGTCTGTCCATGTTCTAATCGAAGGCAACACATAAAACAGAGGGTTTTCTCTGAACTCAAATGTCACCCAAAAGATAGTAATTATATGAACTAAGGACAGAGTACTGATAATGATTATTAAAGCAGAATTCTACTAGAGGAAATGCAAAGAATTTTTGAGCACTTTCAAAATATCTCTATTTGTGTATGGAGTATTTTGTGAATACTTATGGGACTTTGAATCCAAAATGAATGCTACATGCATGCAGACATATGTGAAACCACATATAAATTCATACACACAAAGGAGATAGTGTAAAAAGAACATAAAGATTATGAATATTACACTATAATACAAAAATCTCAAAATATTACATAATAATATAGGTCACAGTAAGATAGCATATACAAATTGCCTGTGTTTGGAATATGGCTAAATATACCATTACTATTTATAAAACTAGTAGCTAGAGTTTTTTTCTCAAGGTCCTGTCAAGCCCTGCAGTCTCATAGCTCATTTATAAAATAAACACACAGACACTTATATTTTTTACAAATTATATGGCCATGGCAGGCTTTTTGTTATCTAGTTTTTATATCTTATATTAACCCATTTTTATTAGTCTATAAGTTGCAACATGGCTTGTGGCTTACCGGTAACTTAACATCTTCTCATGTCAGTGGGTGACAGCGTCTCTGTACCTCCGCCTTTCACTTTCCAGAATTCTCCTCTCTCCTTGTTCCGTCTATACTTTTTGTCTGGTACTGGCCAATCAGGTTTTATTTTTTAACCAATCAGAGCAACACATTGAACATAAAGAACATCCCACAGGAAGTAGCATCTTCTTTATGCCATACAAGTATGTGTGTGTGTGTGTGTGTGTGTGTGTGTGTGTTATTGGAATGGTTTAACTCAAGAATCTATCATTGCAGTAGAGAAAATGACATGACAGATCTGAAACTGTCAACAGCAAGCTGCAATCCACAACACAGTATCACAATCAGCCAGCAGCAGGCAGAAAGGGAGGGTTGGTAGTATATAGCCAGGAATTTGGCCCAAGCAACTGATACATGATTACTTCCAATTTGGCATGGGCTGTTTTTTGTTTGTTTGTTTTCTTAATTGTTATTTGTTTTTTGTTTGTTTTTTTTTGTTTCTGATAATTGGAGGCAGAGACCAGAGTAAACTGCATGTTTTTGCTCTTGTACACTTTCAATTTCGCTGCTTCAGTGGCAGCACACGGACATTTAAGTGGGAGTGAGGGAGAAATGAATCAACATCTCAACTTTGGTGGAACTGAGATAATTGTCCTTATTGGTTCTTATCCTGGGCTCAATTTGAATGCACACAGTCCTTCAATCAGTGGCAAGGAGTATTAAGGAAAGTGTCCAAGGTCTGTCTTCCTACCAGTCAGGCTCAGGCTATATTACAGGACACAGTTGATCCTGTTTATAACCAAAGCCTGACTCATTATTGGCCCAGAAATGAGACTGCTCCTAACATCTACAGGAGACAGATCCCATTCAGTTTAGCAAAGTCATAATTGTTTGATTCCCAGGATCACAGCTCTGAGTCTCCTGCTTTTGTCACCTGTGCAGCCAGTAGGACCCTGCTTCTGAAGCTACAGCTTCTCCTTAAAGATGTGACATCCAAGTCTCAGTCGAAAAGTGTTGCAGTATAAGCAGGGAAGATAATCCAATGTAGGCTTTACTAACTGGGACAGGAAAAGAGAGTTCTGCTCTTTCCAATCGCAAGCATATCCACTGTGGGAATAGCTATGGTATTGTCCAGTTACTGAGAGTCGCTGAAAGTATCAAGCAATAACTTTTCCAGACACTAGACTTTCTGTTACTAGAGTCTCTGGGTGGACAATAAACAATAGCACATGAAATTTACATCTTATATTCCTTTTGTCATTTAGGGACTCAGAGGTACAACTTTCGAATGTTGGTGGGAATTGTCAATTTCTTTTGACACATAGGAAATCTTGGTCATGACTTTTTTTTCCTGCTTAGCCCATTCTTCTCTATGACATCAGACAAGGCATGAACTTTGTTGGAAATCAGTTATTTATTCCTACTGTCAGGTATTTCTCCGAGACATTGTTCCATTGAAAGTTATTAAGACCCCAGATTTCTTTTTTCTTGTATCTGGTTTGTTCATAAGTTTACTACCTGTGAACACCTTATCTTGTGTCTGAAAACTCACATTCTGAATTTCTCTGACAGACAGGAAAGTTGAGATTGTGAAACATGGTCATTAAGGAATGATCCCCCAGTGCTGAATCTTTTAGAATATTTTTAGTACTTTTTCAACACAGATACAGGAGGCTTTAGTTAAGCCACATTAAAAAGGCATTGAACATCATAACATAGTTATCCAAACTAGCTAAGGGTCTATATAAAGAGTCTCTTGAATATCATTGTGTTAATTCCCTATTAATACGAGATGAAATTTCTCTGATGATGGTCATGATTTTACCAGATCTATTAGTGCTTCACTATGTCTTCAGAACTCACTTTATTTCAATTTGACTCCAGTGCAATGACAGAAATAACTTTTATAGTTCTCAGACAATTTTAGCCTCAGGTTCGTGGACCTTTTATGAGTGTTGGGCATTTATTCACCTCATGGAATAAATCATAATCCTTGGAAGTAATTGATTACTCCTATTATAAATAGACCACTATGACAAAAGAGGGAAAAAGGAGATGACTACTCTATAAGTGCTATTTTGTGGCATGTAGCTCATGAGCATGTGACATTTTGATCTTCCTGTAGTTATATCAGAGTAGTTTTTTTTTTTTCATTTCTATTCCATGTAGTCATACCCACTGAAGCTTCTTATGAGGTACCCTGTGGATATCTGTTCTATGATGAACTAAGTATGTAGGATCTTCAATAATAGCTCATCACCTTGCAAGTAATTGATTACTCCTATTATAAATAGGCACTATGGCAAAAGTAGGAAAAGAGGAGACTTCTCTACAAGTACTGTTTTCTTTTTTTGGCATGTAGATAAAGAGTATGAGGTATTTTGATCTTGCTACAGGTATATGCTGTTTTCATTCCTATCACATGTAGTCATTCCCACTGAAGCTTCTAATGAGGTGCAATGTGCATATCTTCTCAGTGATGAATAAAGTGTGTGGGAAATTCAATATATAGCTTATCACCATCATATTAGGAGATGTGACCCTGATATGGAAATGGTTGTGAATCACCGGTGGGTCACTATGAGAGCCCCCTTGACCAAAAAGATAACTAAATAACTCCTTACTGACACCTGAGAGAAAACTCTGATTCCCTTTCTTGGTCTAAGACATGCAGTTTTCACATTATCTCCATTATATGTGTTGAACCATATCAATTACTTTCATATATATATAAATGGTTTAGTATGTATATGTATATATGCCTACTTCTGACACACATTTCAAGGTGGAAATTTATATGTATGTATCAAAATACATATGTATACATGTGTATGCATCTTGACGTAGATGAGCATTTCTCACATGTGTACTGTATTTATATAATTTCACTCTTCTTTATTTTCCCTCCTGAAGCACCATGTCCGCTCCAGGATATTCCAAAAGATATACTACTTCTTAGTGAATTTATATTTTTTCATACATACACAAATATAGTCAGAACTAAATGATGCATTGTAGAGAATGTGGTGATAATTAATGCTCATTTTTATTTTTGACCTTTGGAATTGAAAGGCCTCACAATGTCATTTTAAAATACCCTGTGTCTATCTATCTTAGCATCCATCTTTTCTTCTCAGCTTTTCTGCTTAGTGTGTCAAGCCTAGCGAATTTCCACTACACACTGGCCTGCAGATATGTGTTGTCATGCTGCTACCTTGTTTGGTTGCTTCTTTACTTTGGAATATATTTTTGGTTGGTACTCATATTTTCTAAACATTGGGGTTTGAAATTCGGTATCCTTCTTAGAAGACAATTTTTCTGCAGGAGGAATCCTGTTCCTTAGGATCATGAATTGTATCTTAGCATTGAGTACCACACTTTCTTTGCCCAGAAAATATGTTGAGTTGTGTGGATTTATCAGGTGGCTGTAGACATGACTTTGTAAGTACATAGCAATATGTCCAGGTATGGAATTTAGTACTAATGCTGTAAAATGATGTCTTTTTGAAGAGTTAAAACTGAAGTTGCCTGTGGGTATAAGGATATATAGAAAGCTGTTCAAATGACATGCCTTCAGAGATGTTGCCAAAGAAGGAGTGCCTCTGGGTTCACTAATTCTTAGCCTTTATGTATCAGACCAGGTTAATACATTGGGAATTATTTTTCCTCATTTAAATGATATATGATTCTTTTGATAAAAAAAAAAAGAAATATTCAGTCATGTCTGAGGGAAACAAGGATTTAATGCCCTAGGATATTCTAAGTCCTGGTAAGTTTTATATTTGAATGCAGTGGTATAATCAAGTCTGAATTGATGTTTTCAGTTGTGTTAGCTATGATTTTATATGAACAGCCCATCATGATGATGATGATGAGTAAAATAATAACTATAATAATGCTCCAGGGAACTTTTTCTAAGCACATACAATGTAAAAATTAGTTTTAAAAAAAACCCAGATATTCATCTGTTTAAGAGGCAAGATGGCGACAGGTGGCAGAGCAGAGGAAGATCTGCAGCAGGGCCGCCTGCAGATGCTGCTCCCCGCGCAGCCTATGGCCCAGGCTGAGGAAGCCCAGGGCACAGGAGAGAAGATGGGCTGGGCGCAGGTAGTAAAGAACCTGGCGGAGAAGAAGCACGACTTTCGTGAGCCTTGGCGGGGAGTAGGAAGGGGCAGAGGTGCGGGTGTCAGGCTGGGCAGCCCCGCGGGCCTGGCCGCTCCGAACCCCGGCAACTTCCCACCTGCGGGCCGCGGGGACCCCAGGGGCTGCACTAGAGACCCTGCGGGCTACGCGGCAGAAGCTTGCAGGATGCAGGGAGCCGGAGACGCGAATCAGAGGAGGATGGCCGAGGTGGCGGCGGCAGCGGCAGCAGCGGCAGCGGCGGCCATGGCGTCCCCCGCCAGGCCCATTGCGACCAAAGACGCAATTGCAGGGCGACCACTGCAGGATGAGCCTCCAGCCGCCAGGCCGGGTAAGGGCCGCTTCCTTGTGCGCATCTGTTTCCAGGGAGAAGAGAGTGCCTGTCCGACCCGGGATTTCGTGGTGGGCGCGCTCATCCTGCGCTCCATTGGCATGGATCCTGGGGACATCTATGCTGTCATCCAGATCCCTGGCAGCCGCGAGTTCGATGTGAGCTTCAGATCTGCAGACAAGCTTGCCCTGTTTCTCCGCATCTATGAGGAAAAGCGGGAGCTGGACGACTGCTGGGAGAACTTTGTCCTGTTGGGGCGGAGCAAGCCCAGCTTGAAGACCCTCTTCATCCTCTTCCAGAATGAGACCGTGGATGTGGAGGATATCGTGACCTGGCTCAAGCGCCACTGCGAAGTGCTGGCCTTGCCAATGAAAGTGACTGACAGGTTTGGGATCTGGACTGGGGAGTACAAGTGCCAGATTGAGCTGCACCAGGGGGAGGGCGGGCTGAAGCACCTGCCTGGGGCCTTCTTCTTGGGAACGGAGAGGGGCTACAGTTGGTACAAGGGGCAGCCCAAGACGTGCTTCAAATGTGGTTCTCCGAACCACATGACCGGCACCTGCACGCAGGAGAGGTGTTACAGGTGTGGAGAAGAGGGCCACAAGAGCCCTTACTGCCGGAAGATCATCATGTGCAACCTCTGTGGCAAGAGAGGACACGTGTTTGCCCAGTGTCCCAAAGCAGCTCAAAATTCCGTGGCAGATCACCTCACAGGCATGGCGGGGCACTGAATGTGTGTCTGCCTGCCGGGGTGAACACACAGCCATCTTACCCTTCTCAAGTGCCAAAACCTTTTTTTTTTTTTTTTTTTTTTTTTTTTTTTTTTTTTTAAAGATCATTTTTCTCTTTTTCGACGGAGATTATTTCTAAAACTCAACAGAGACATTCTCTCTATGCCTTTTAAAACCACGTGTGCTCCTTTTCAGGCTGTTTAAAAAGAACTATTCAGAACTGTAGTGTGCAGACTATTCAGAACTGTCCTCCCCCACCACCACCTTTTTTCTTCCGTTTTACATTAGTTTTGGTACTTTCTTCAACACCCTGTCTGCCTCTGTACTATTTGCTAACTCCCTCTTCATCCATGTCTCATCAGAAGATGTTTGCTCTTTGGGCTGCCTTGCTCATTTTATGCCTCATCCCTGGGTACAGGGCCCAAAGCGGAAAAGGCATTCACCTAAGTGTTTATTGAATCGAAAATGTTGTCGATTAGCTGTCTAGAGTGCCTACCTTGTGCAGCTTTCCGCTGGGCTCTTTCCATTTGTGGCTTCTATGTGATATGAAAATTTGTGAAAACAGTGTTGCTGGAAGTGTGTAATCCAAATAAGCTCTGAAAAGTGGCCAAGGGCCTCTCGAAGCATTTAAACCTATCTCCCTTGTGACAGCTCCTTCTGGCTCTGAAGCCTTATTTCTATAGAAGCTTGGAACCTAGGCAGTTCTTCTAGGAAAGAACCAAGAGGTGTTTTTTGTTGGATTTTCTTTGGGGGAGCTTGCTTTTGTTTTGTGTATTGATTTGAGACAGGGTCTTACTGTGTAGCCCTGACTAGCTTGCATTCCTGAACCAGGCTGCCTTCAAACTGACTGTGATCCTCTCAACTCTGCCTCCCTAAGGATGTTTTAAATTAACCCCTTGGTTTTCCAGCAGATGAAATAATCCGAAGTGAAATGACTGGGTTAAAGTAAACAGCGGTGTGGTGCTTCAGACTGTCCACAGTAGAGTCCACTGCCCCCTTGCCTGGTGCTCATCCCACTACCTCTCACACTTCACAACAGTCTCCTTGACAATGGAGGGCCATGAATGTCTCTCTCCAGGCTGATGGTCCCAGCATGAAGCTGAGACACCAGCCCCTGAAAGAGCAGAAAGAGAAGCTTGTCTTGCCACTTCATAGTAAGGGACCTAGGGGAAGGACCAGTGAACACACTGCAGGCTGCATGCATGCATCAGTCCTTGGAGTGAGTGCCACATCTTCAATGTTCCACTGTCACCTTCAGTATTGAGAATTGGTTCCCCTCAGGAAAGAAACTTGCTAGACTTTTACATTTACACCTCTGCCTCATCTACTAGGAACCCCAGAGAAGTTAGAGAGAGAGAGCTCCTCTGAAACTTTGGACCTCTGATGCTCAGAAGGAAGGTGGTTTTAACCCAGAAGCATGAGTAATCTATAAACTGGAAAATGTTCTTGGGGAATCAGGCCAAGAGAGAGGGCCTGGGTCAACTAATTGTTATCAAGTTAAAGTGAAAAACAGTAGCTGCTATTTTCAGTTTTTGTCTTCTCTTTGCAGTTTTGCTATTTTCTTTTGGCTTAGAATGTAAAACCAGTTGCTCAGAATTGTCAATAAATATTTATCTTTTTGCCCATGAAATATGTTGAGTTGTGTGGATTTATCACGTGGCCCTAGACATGACATTCTAAATTCACAGGATTTTCTGCAGGTGTGGAATTTTTTAATAGTTCTGTAAAATGATGTCTTTTTTGGAGATTTACAACTCAAGTTACTGTGAGTATAAGGATAGATTCAGAGAAAACTGTTTGAAATGACATGCTTTCAGAGATTTTTCCAATAAAGGAGTACGTCTGGGTTCAATATTTCTTAGCCTTATGTATCAGGATAGGTTAATACAGTGGGAATTATTTTTTCTCATTTTAATGATATATGTTTCTTTTAATCTAAAAATTTGAAATATTAAATCATGTCTGTGGGAAACAAAGATTTGATACCCTAGGATATGCTAAGTCCTGACAAGATTTTACATTTGAAGGTGGTGATACAATCACCAATTCTGCCATGATATTTTTCATTGTGTTAGCTGTGATTTCGATATGAACAGTACATGATGATTTTGAGTAAAGTAATATCTATATTAATTGTTCAGATAGAATATTTCAAAGAACAAAACAATGTAAAAATTTGTTTAAATCAAATGTTCAATAAGAACCATGTTCAAGTGTAATTTAAAGGAATTTAGAAGTTATTTTTACAGGAGATTCCTTAATATTTTTTTTTCACTTTTAGTATACGTTGTGATTTAAAAAACAAAAAAAACAAAAAAACAGATTCACTGATTTATGCTTAGGTTTTATTTAAGCATTCCAAAATAAAATTTTGAAACTGAGCGAGTACAAGCACCGATTCATAATGGAAATATGACTGACGAGTAGGTGTTTACATTAGAGAAAATCTGTGTGTGATTTTGACAATTATCCCCTATGTTATATAATGCTTACTTGCTTCTAATAAGAAAAGCCTAGTAGAAGAGTCCATTAGCATCTGACTGCTTGGAAAGATGATTTCCTGCTTTCTAATTCCAGAACATATATATATATATATATATATATATATATATATATATATATATGAAAAATCAGGCATATAGACAACACCATCCAAAGAAAAACAGGAGGCATATGTCATGTGAGTAATATCATGGGGTTTTCCTGGCCAGCTTGGGTAACATGTTTGGCAAATTCTCCCCTTGTGTGAAACACAATGTCAATCTAACATTGGTAATACTCCTGTGCATGCAACTGATATTTGATGGATTTTTTTTAGCACCCTTGTATCAGGTTAGGTTGTATACAAAATTGTTTCTTTATGAAGCAAACCAATGTTCTACTACATTCTGAAGAATATCATTAAACAAATATTGTTAGAGTGGCCTATAATAGTTAATGTGCTGATGAAGAGGGAAAGACAGAATTTCCCATGCATGCTAGCTTTGAGTGTCTGTCCATGTTCTAATTGGTGGCCCCATAGAAAAGGAAAACAGGGCTTTCCCTGTACTCTGATGTCACGCAAAAGAAAGTAACTACATGAACTAAGGACAGAGTACTAATAATGCTGATTAAAGCAGAATTCTGCTAGAAGAAATGCAAAGAATTTTTTTAATATTTTCAGAATATCTATATTTGTATATGAATAATGAGCAAAGTATTTTGTGAGAATGTATGGGATTTTGAATCCAAAATGAATGCTACATGCATGCAGATATATATGAAACCACATATAAATGCATACATACAAAGGAGAAAGTGTAAATAGTATATAAGGATTATGAATATTATGCTATAATACAAAGACCTCAGAATATTACATAATCATTACAACACAATAAGATAGCATAACCAAAATGCCTATGTTTAGAACATCGCTAAATGTACCATTACTCTTTACAAAAGTAGCATCTTATTTTGATCATTCTTAATGGCTTAATTCAAGAATCTCTCAATGCAATGGAGGAAATGACATTACATTTTGGAAACTGTCAGCAGCAAGCTGCAAACCGCAGCACAGAATCACAATCAGCCAGCAACAAGCAGAAAGGGGGGGTTGCTTGTATGTAGCCAGGAATTTGACCCAAGCAACGAACAATGACCTAGTTTGCACAGGCTGTTTTTCTGTTTTTTGCTATTTTTTCTGATAATTGGAGTCAGAGACCAGAGTAAATTGCATATTTTTTTCTCCTGCGCACTTTCAATTTCGCTTCTTCAGTGGCAGCACACGGACATTTCAGTGGCAGTGAGGGGAAAATGAATCAGCAACTCTGATGGAGTCTCCAAGGTTACCACAAGATTTGCCTCCTTAGCTGGAACTGTGATCATTGTCCTTAAGTGTTCTTATCCTGGGCTCAATTTGAATGCACACAGTCCTTCAATCAGTGGCAAGGATTGTTAATAAAAGTGTCCAAGGTGTGGCTTTTTACCAGTCAGGCTCAGGCTATATAGTCCAATACACAGTTGGTCCTGGGTATAACCAAAGCCCGACTCTATATTGGCCCAGAAAAGGAAGACTGCTCCTAACATATACAGGAGAGAGAGGCCATGCAGTTTAGCAAAGTCAGGATTGTTCGATTTCCAGGAGCACAGCTTTGAGTCCCCTGTTCCTGTCACCTGTGGAGCAAGTAGGACCCTGCTTCTGAAGATACAGCTTCTCTTTAAAGATGTGACATCCCAGTCTCAGTCGAAAAGTGCTGCACTATAAGCAAGGGAAATAATCCAAATCAGGCTTTACTAACCGGGACCGGAAAAGAGAGTTCTGCTCTTTTCTATCCCAGGGAAATCCACTATGGGAATGGCTATGGTATTGTCACTTTAATCAATTACTTAGATTCACTGAAATTATCAAGCAGTAATTATTCCAGACATTAGCCTTTCTGTTACTAGAGTTTCCGGGTGGACAATAAAGAATAACACATGAAATATACTTCTTATAATTCTTCTGGCATTTAGCGACGCAGAGGTACAACTTTCAAATGTTGGTGGACATGGTCAATTACTTTTGACACAAATAGGTAATATTGGTCATGACTTTTTTTTCCTGGTCTTCCCATTCCTCTCTATGATGTCAGGCAAGACATGAACTTTGTTAGAAATCAGTTATTTATTTCTAGTGATAGTCAGGTATTACATGCTTCCCTTGAGAGTAATTATGAGCCCAAATTTCTCTCTTTTTGTATCTGGTATTTTCATATGTTTAGTACCTGTGAATGCCTTATCTTGTATCTAAAAACTCACATTCTGAATTTCTCTGACAGATAGGAAAGTTGAGATTGTAAAACATTGTCATTAAGGAATGATCCCCCAGCTCTGAACCTGTTAGAATATTTTTGGTACCTTTTCAACACAGATACAGGAGGATTTAGTTCAGCTATATGAAGAAGGCATTAAACATCACAACATATTTACCCAAAGCCTCTAAGAGTATATAGGAAGAGTCCCCTGCATATCCTCGTGTTAATTCACAATTAACAGGAGATGAAAATTCTGATGAGGGTCAAGTGATAACGAGATATGTAAGTTTATCACTATGTCATCAGGACTCACTTTATTTCAAATTGACTCCAGTGGAATTAGAGAAATATTTTTTTTGCTGTTTCTGTTTCACTTTTATTAAAATATATTTTTCTAATTTTTGAGATTATGATATAGTCACATAATTTCTTCCTACCCTGTCTTCTATCCAAACCCTCCCATTTACTCCTCCTTGTTCTATTTTAAATCTCTGGCCTCTTTTTTATTAATTGTATTTTTTCTCTTCTTTGAACTTTTTTTCTTTATTAAGAAATTTTCTACTCACTCCACATGCTATCCACAGATACCCCTCCTCCCTCCTCCCACCCCAGCCCTCTTTCCCAAGCCACCTCACATCCCCACATCTCCCAAACCGAGGTCTCCCATGGGAAGTCAATAAAGCCCAGCCCAGTGATCCTAGGCAGGTCCAAGCCCCTTCCTACTGCACCAAGGCTGTACAAGGTGTCACACCACAGTTACCGGATTCCAGAAGACCAGGGACAGATCCTGATCCCCCTGCCTGGGTGCCCCCCAAACAGTTCGAGCCGATCAACCTTCTTCCATATCTAGAGGGCCTAGTCCAGTCCCATGGGGGCTCCACATCCACGAGTCCACAGTTCATGGGCTTCCACTAGTGTGGCCAGTCATCCTTGTACGTACTCCCATCATGATCTTGACATCCCTCCCCGACAGAATCTCTCCTCTCTCTCATCAATTCAATTCCCAGAGCTCAGCCTGGTGCCTGGCTGTGGATCTCTGTATCTGCCTCCATCAGTCACTGGACAAAGGCTCTATGATAACAGCTAGGTTATTTGCTAGGCTGGTCACCAGGGTAGACGGGTCCAGGGCCCCTCTGGACCATTGCCAGCAGACCAAGGTGGGGTCAAGCTTGTGGATTCCTGAGAGCGTCCCCAGCAACCTGCCTCTTCCTATTCCCATGATATCCTCATCTATAATGGTATCTTCCTCCCAGCCCTCCCACTCTGTCCCTGTTACAGCATGACCCTCCCATTTCCCTATGTTCTCATCCCCCACTCCTCACCCTCTGTCACTCCCCCAACACCAAGTCCACTCATGTAGATCTCATCCACTTCTCCTTCACAGGATCATCCATGTGTCCCTCCTAGGTCTTTGCCTGTTAGCTAGCCTCTCTGGAGTTGTAGGATGCAGTCTGGCAGTACATACTATGTTTATCCTTCTGAGTCTGGGTTACCTCACTCAAGATGACGTTTTCTAGATCCATCCATTTGCCTGCAAAGTAATTTTTATATTTCGCTGATAATTCTACTCTCAAGTTCCTGGTCCTTTTATGAGTGTAGAGTCTTTATTCAATTCATGGAATTAATTGTAATCCTTGCAAGTAATTGATTACTCCTATTATATATAGGCCAATATGACAAAAGTAGAAAACAATAGAGGACCACTCTATGTGTGCTGTTTATAGCATGCAGCTCATGAGCATGAGACATTTTGTTCTTGCTGGATTTATATGCAAAGTAGTTTTCATTGCCATTCCATGTAGTCATTCCCAGGGATTCTTCTACTGAGGTACCTTGTAGATATCTGTTTTATGATGA